CTATCATTGGTAAAACTATAGTTATTGGCTTTATTCTAGTTTCGGTTTGCAACTCGATTGGTTGCTTTCCTAATCGATGGATTACTACTATACTAGTAAGACAGGTTAATGGATGCTCTATACTTGGATAAGCAATCCATTTCCAAGATAACATCAAAGTCTCTAAGTCTTAATACTATTAAATTAACATCCAACACCTTACCATCAATCTGAATTTCACGAGTTCCTAACTATATTATGAGACTCCATTGACTCTTCGATGGAAGAGCCACCTCATAAACTACATCTAACATTTCGGGTATCACACTTAGCTTTTGCATTAATGATTATAAAATGAAGGTTTATATGGCACCTCAATCTATTAACGTGTATGTAGTAAAGTTAAGGATCAAAACGTTACCGCATATAACATTAGTGTGCTCCTTATCCGCCTGCTCCTAAATCATTGTATAGACCCGTCCTAAAACCCTCAAAGTAGTCTTCCTTTTAGGACAATCTGTAGCTATATGTCTTGCCTCCCTATAGAAGTAATAGACATCGGTTTCGATTAAGTAGTCAACAATATGAAAATGTCCACATTTAGGATAGTTCGATCCGCCCTTTCCTTTCACCTTATGTTGCCTTTCTAGAACCTTAGGTCCGTTCACATTACCCTACCATTGCCTTATAAATGGCCTACTTTTGTTAGTTAGCCATCAAATATGTTCGGAATATTCATTCTTTTGCTCAATGGAAACCAAGTCCACTCCTTCGGTTAGCCTCTATTTCAAAAGTTCAACTAACCATCTCGACGATAATCATGTGCGGATACTCCAACCAAGCTTCAAATTTCTACCTTCAAACCTCGAAGAAAGTTTTCCCTCTTCTATGCTTGCACTTCCTAAAATGAATGTCACAAACTAACATCAATGCTTGAATTTTTTGACATACTCTATAATGGACATGTCACCTTGTTCTAACTTCGAAATCCTTGAATTTTTAGTCATCACGGTGTTCAAAAAATACTTCTTATTAAAAACTTCCTTGAATTGCACCCATATAAAAATGAGGCACATTTAAGGAAATCTTAGTTGACTTCCACCGGATACGGGCATCACCAATCAGCATAAAGATAGCACATGCCACCTCATCGAGATTCTTCATCGTCATATGGTCGAAAATCATCTCTAGCAATCAACCACTCCTCAACAACCATGGGTTCAGATTTACCTCAAAATTCTTTCAACTTGAATTTTTGAAAGCGTTCAACTATATTAACTCGTTGTTATGGTCTAGCTACCACCGAATTCGATGGCTGCATAACCACCAATCTTTACATCATTACCTACCACTCGTCTAAGCAAGCATCATACGCTATTCCTCGTGATCCACTACATTCCTACTTGGACCCATTTCATTACCATTATTCCTTTTACTAGGACTCGTGTTATTACTTGTTGTTCCTTTTAGGCGGCATCCTAATTAATCCGTATATTCGAACATAAATTTTATCACGTATTTTTACTTAGTCATTCATGTAATAATTCAACAATTACTCTTAAATCAAATCATAATCATACCAACATAGGTCATTTGACACGGAGAAATCAATAATACATAATTAACAAGCATATTTAGTCAAACATATTTACTTATTGCCAAGGCTCGACTTACGTGTACTTTTTCAATCTCTTATCTTGTATTACTACGTTAAATCTATTTAAACTACTTTGATACCAACACTACAACACCTCCAACCTAGGAACTATATAAGTTGAGAATATTATCGACGTTTCTCATATTTCAAGTGCAATGAATACAAGACAACAACCCTCATCTTTTAATCCTCTAATTTTCACTATTGATTTTTCACGTGTGGTCCCTAATAATTAAAAACTAAATAGGTCCACTTAAATTAAAACTTAATTACAAAAATTCTCCAAAAATTCTTCCAATACTATGTAATAATTCCATCACATGTTTAGAAATATTAGGCCTTGCATTTAGGTCAAAAATTCATATTTTCAAAGTACAATTTAATTATTTTAATATAACACCTTATATAAAGCTAATTTGAACCATGTCTATTTTTTTTTCTCAAACTCCTTATAAAAATTTTGGATTTTATTTAAAACATTTAAATGCAACATAAAACTAGTTAAATTAATTTTATAGAAATAAATTCAAAACCATTTGATAAAATTCATTTTGATTAGAAAACATTCTTAATATAATAAACCATTAAACTTGGTTCATTTCTTTAATAAAGAGTCCTTAAATTAAAAATTTGCTTAAAACATAAATCCTTATCATTTTTCCATAAATCCGAAATAATAGGGAAAATTAATCTAATTAATTTGAAATAATGAGTTTCCCTTATTTTCTTCAAAATCCGATTTATTAGGGAAATAATCAACTTTGGGGATAAATTTTAAGTAGAAACCTTTCATTTGGATGTAACCATATGGTCAAACTAATAAAAATTTGCCTTCAATTAATCTATTCAAATTATTTAACTAAGGGAGTAAAATCATTTTTGGGTTATGGAACATTGATTCCAAATAAATGTAGGAACATTGGTTGTCATTAATATAGGAAGCTTAACAATGAAACTTATCATGGCCATTTAATATTTCCCCATATCTCATTTAATCTAAATTCCTTCCATGTAATTGATTATTTCCTTGGCTTCCAATTTCTTAATTAATCTCGTCCATCATCCATCTAACTAATTATGTGATCATGTCTTTAATTCCAATTACTACCAATTATAGGTCATTTAATTTAATTTAACTACATTTGCTAATTCTTTACTATATATATATATATAGGAGAAGGAATTGCAATTCAATTCCTTAGCCATGTTAAAATTCTCCGGACCCTTGTTTAAATCTACTCTCTCCCTTCCTTTGCATTTCTTCCCTCTTTGCTCTTGTTCTAGGCCGAATGATCCAGCCCAAAAATTCAGTTTCTAAACTGAATTTTCTGGACAAATTCCAGCCGGTTCCAATGTCCCTCTATTTTGCCAAAATGTTCACTTTGCTCCTTCACTCTTGTAATTCAATTCAATCATACCCTTGCTATTTTGTCTTCCCACTTTTAATTGTAACATTCCAGCCCTCCATGAATATAATTTTTCAAATTAATTTGGGTCTCTTGATTTCCAAATTTAATTTAATTGGCCAAACTTTTAACCTTACAATTACCTCCCTAAAAATAATCTAATTATTTTCTCCTTATTTCCTAATATTTATGTGTACATAAATAATATTTTAATGCATGCATAATATTAATTCAAACATATTGTTTAACTAATTACTCTTTAATTAAATACTTAGGCATTAATAATAATATTTCTCCTTTCATTCATACTTGTATAATTATTATTTAGAAGGTCTATAGTCAAGGATATTACATAATTGACTCATTTAAGATATATATATATATATATATATATATATATATATATATATATATATATTGAATACTTACTCCATTATATAAAGACAAACTTAACCATTTCTTTTTTAATTATTTAATTGAAGTGCTTCTTTAATTAATCTATTACATTTTTGTGGAGTTTTTAGCGTGCATGTGGACCACCTAGTAAACATCTATTACATTTTGATTGGTTGATATTTTCCATTAAGAAAGAATTAATGGATTATGCTATGGTGGTCACGGATGGTGGTTTGTTGGCCAAAGCATACATCTAACCAAATCCATTAAAAAAAAAAAAATCTCTTCCATAAACTTTGATTATATATTACTCTCATTTTAAAATAATAATTCATCATATAAATTATATTACTACATTTTAAAAAAGAAATACGATTATATTCTAAAATTTTATTCAAAAATTAATACATAGAAAAATTTATATTTGCTTAACAAATAAAATTATATTAAAAAAAAATTAAGAAATCAATTGGATGTTTTCATAAAAAAGATAAATAAAAAAATCATCTTAAAATATGAAAACAAAAACATAAAAAATAACAAATCGAAGAAATCATATTTCTTCATTGTCAGTTTGTATGAAAAATCCAAAAAAAAAAAAAAAGATTATTTCTTCATAAATTTAGCACAAAAATCAATAATAAAAATATTAAAAAAATTCCTTAACAAAAAAAGCCAAGCCAGGTTTGTTCGTCTGAAAAAAAAAAAAAATGGAGGACACATTGTTCACCAGCAACTTTCAGCAAACTTGAGCTCCTAAAACGTTTGTTAGAAAAACAATTTTTTTTTATCCCAAAACTTAGTGCATTATTTTTGTTTCAAAACTCTTTAAAAACACTAAAATGATATCAAAAAACACGTTTAAAATCTTAAAACTCATTCTAATAAACATTAAAAAAAAACATATCAAATTCAAAATCTCATTATGTTTTGATATCTCAATTTATCTCCTCCAATAATTTTGTATTTTGAAACTATTAAAAATAAACTCTATTATCCAATATAAACAAATTGAATATAACATATTGGGTCAAAATGATTAAAATGGATCTGATTGACACTTTCTCTCTCGTTTTTTCTTTGTTGGTTTCTCTTTCCTACATTTAAGGACTTTAAATGTGCTGCAACTGAAGTTGTGAATTTTTTTTTTTTTTTTAAAAAAAAACCAAAGTGCAAAATTTGATATAATTAGTACATAATTGCTTCTAAAAAATTACAAAAATATGTCATTATTTTGAGTGCACAATGCACAAGAATGCAGCGCTACAATAACCCACTCCAAATCTTGTCCCTTTTTTTTGGTAATGTAATTATCCCTTGGGACTGTGGGTTGCAACAGCTTGTCATGGTTACAGAAAAGGATGACATACAGTGAACAATCACATACAACAGCACTTACAGAACAAACGGTACAACGTGCGTATCAAGTACAGCATTTCTGTTGGATCGAATTATCCTTGTAGATAATTATTCTCTTTTCCATGTTTCTTCTTCGTACCATGTTAGTTGGCTACAATTATCCTTACAATTGTCTAGCAGCTAGCAGCTATCAGCAGAGTATTTTATACAGCAATTTTCTCCTCTTTTAGTCGTAGAAGCACCGGTCTTTGATCATTGTTGCCAAAATCCATTCCTTTGAGCATGGGATGCTCCCCAGCCACCACCTTTTGAGGTTTCACTTGTGATGCATTAGTGTTGGCTGTGCTATGGCTGCTGTTTCTAGCTGCAGGGACGTTGTGGTTATGCTTTCCCTCATATGTAGTTATCACAGCTTTGGGATCTGCTGCAGCCCTCTCAACATGCTTCCGAACATTGCATCCTGCGCTGGTGCATTTGTAATAGCTCCTGTTGACATAAAGAATGCATCAGAGTAGCGTCCTTCGACAAAGCTATGAAGCAAAATGCGAGACATGAAAATTTGATTTGAGCAGAAAAATCTGAATGAAGGAAACAATTATCTAGCAAAACATGCCATGATTTGACTGCGTCATCACATGTAACAGCTGTGAGCAGTTTTTACTGAGTTAACTACAAAGTGGAGTATTGGAATATCATTGCATGGAACTCAAAAAATTAGAGCAAGGAACAATACAGGCCTATAAGAACAATATCAATGTGACATTGCATAAGATTTTGAATAATGATAGAGCAACGAACAACATGGGCATACAAGAACAATATCAACGAGGATATTAAAGTGAGCATAACTCTCTCTCGGGTCCAGAACCTGGAGAGAGGTGCCGCTCAAGCCCCTTGCACAAACCACTAGTACACTAACATTATTGTAGGACGCAAAAAAGAAAAGTAATCAAAGGAAAGAAGTATGCTAAAAAATTGCCCAACTTAATTGATTGCACCAAACACAATTTTCAGGTCGGAACTAGAAGAGCGGATCAAAGACGAAGCAATATGAAAAATTTCTTTAAGCTAACACAAGCACATAGATATTAAAGTTGTCAACAGCAAAGATGAAGAGAGGCATGTGGACCAATTGTATGAGAAAATTGACAACAGCTCATGATTTAAGAGCAGAAGAGGCACTAAGTAGAACCAGATAAAAATCAGAAAAAACTTCATTGCAACCCAGGTGGTAGAAATAAGGCTTTCTAATAATTTTAACTACTATTAATCGCAATAAGAGAAAAAAAACAATGCAACATTAATTGACACTATAAAATTTTCCCTCTCTGAAACCTGAATATCATGATAACATGGACACCATGGAAGCTAAAGGATTTTATGCTTTAGAAACAAACTAATCACCAAAATATTAAAAAAGTGGACAAGAGTCATGTGGTCAATTAGAAATTGTTTAGAAAAAGTTCTGCTGGAAGGTGGCCTAATGCAGATCAGCAAGTTTGATGAACCAAATCACAACATTCTGCAAGCTATTATGAATATCAAGTGGAGCAAATAGGCAAGAAAGATAAAGTTGTCCCTTGGTTTCTTTCCATTTTCCGAAATCCAAACCAAAACTTTAGGCCACAAGTTACAATCATGGTTTTGGTTATTGAACATTTACATGTTAAGTTGCAATCATGGTTTTGATTATTGAACGTAGTCATTTACATCTTTATTTAATAAAATATCAATTTTTCATTCTGTTAAACCCCATTGAAACAGGGTCCACTAATGGCATCTATGTATAGCCATAGCAGCCATAACTTTTAAGCATAATAGCCTTTAAGGTTCGAAAGGCTCATCTTTTCAGCCAGCTCCCTCTCTTGTATATGCTACTTGATTCAATTTTCTTACACAAAGTTTAAACCACCATCCTCTATCTTGTACTTTAAAAATCAGCAGACAACCCTCAACTTGAAGATTCAAAGTAATGAGATCAAATCAATTTTCTTTTGCTTTTTTTTTTCCCTCAAATACATTGTTAGAATATAAGCGCAACTCTTTTCCCTAATGGTTCTAGAGCAACAGTAAACATCCTGCTTTCCAATTACAAGGCTGCAAATTTGATCTTGAGCCACTTCATGCAAAAGAGGCTCTCTCCAATTTCTACATTCTAACCTAGATTTACTCATGCCTTAACTAGGTATTAGCTTTCTCCTCTTCTAGAGTTCACATTTTTTAAATTGACAATTAGAGGGGATGAAAACCTTTCCAAATGTTTTGAGTATTTTAAATTGACAATGTGCTAGAAGCTGGTTCAAGTATTATGCTTGCGGAAAGATCCCTACGATATACCAGGACAGTAGGAGAACATAAACAAAAATAACTAAAGCAATAACCACCTTGGATGAGGATTCCCTTTGACCACCTTCTGGCCATATTTGCGCCACCGGTAGCCATCATCCAAAAGATCAACTTCACTTCTAGTTTGGACAATGATTTTTGGTTCTGTGACTGTCTTGTGAGGTAAAGTTACCTCAGATGTCACAACATCTATTTGTCTGCACTCCGAGATGAAATTTTCTCAGATAAATATCAGAAAAGGAGTATGTATGATTTTAAACAGTGAAACATCTTAAACTTGCCTTCTCTTTGGGTTTGGCTCATCATCACCCCTATCTTCTTCTTGCACACCTGCAACACCGGCTTCCTCGCTGTCACTTAATCCAGATGGCTCTGAAGGATCTGGTTGAGTACATTCCTGATCCCTCCCAGTTACTGAATGAGCAGGTAATGTTTCAGTCGACTTGTTTACATTACCAGCATGAGCTTGTGAACCAACTTCAGGTTTAGACTGAGAATGGATACTTCCATTAGAATCATTGCCATCTTTTGAACGCTTGCTGGGTTGAGGTGGGTCGTGGTTGTGCTGGCCTTTGTAGATGATCTCAGTTATTTGGCCATCACTAGATCGCTCAACCTTCTTTTTGACTGGGCATTTTGGATGTGTACATTTGTAGTAGCTTCTTGGATATTCACTGCCCTTAATTGGCTTTTGACCATATTTGCGCCAGTTGTAGCCATCATCAGTAGGTTTATCAACAGCAGGAGGAGGTTGGTATTTCCTCTCAGAATGAGAAAAATCTGCTGGATCCACTGTGGAATTCTGGGTGTCTGAGGTTGAGGGTGGCATTTGCTGCTGCTGTTGCAAAACTTCACCAGGGTTGAAGGATGGCTGACGTGTCAACAACTCTGTAGGTGCTGCTACTGAAGAAGCCTGATATTGAGCTTGCATATGCATTTGAGATTGGGCAGCTAATGCAGCTTGAGCAGTAACCTGTGCCAAGGCCTGCTGGTGGGACATTCCAAAGGGACTCTGCATGGAAATAGAGATATAATATACGACCAATTAACACCAGTCACAGCTTCAATATTATGGTAGCAAGCACCAGGGGCATGCCATATGCTTCTGTACTTAGAAACATCTCCAAGCATGCATCCATTGTGCCAAGGGAATCTCTTTATGAGGTTCTTGGTATGGTGTTCAACAAAATTTTCAAGAAAGTTTCAATTCCATCATATATATATATCATACCAGTAGATCACTCCACTAAATCAATATAAGCATTATGTACTCAACCAAGAACAGGTAAAACAATATCTCATCTGGCTGCTAAGTTTTTTTTTAATTTTTAATTTTTTAATTTTTTTTTTAATCGAATCATTAGTCCAGATAATGTTTTTCCTGTCAGCCTGACTAGCAATCAACCATTTTCATTTCTACAAAAGCTTATGCTACACCCAAAGTTCTCCTCGTGTGAAAAATAACTTGGAGAATCATGCTTGGTAAAGATGGAAGACCCAGTATGCATCAAACCTTATATGGTTAAGGCAACAGAACAAAATGACGACCACAATTTGGATGATGAACAGCTAACACTTTGCTTGGTTGCACGTATTAAAGCACAAAACAAGAAATGATTTTTATACGGTGACAATATAATCAACTTAATTGCTTTGCAGTCCAGATGTTCTAGCGAGCAACTAATAACAAATTTTTGGATGACCCAATTTTCGGAATCCAAACACCTAACAAGCTTTTCGTTTTCCAAACCATATCGCATCCCTAAGTAAAGTCTTCTAATTCGAAAATGATTCAATTCAATATTATTTAAGCTCATAAATGGAACCCCTTTGTCAATTACAAAATGAACAAACAATCACCCAAACCAACATCTCTCTTTAAACCAACCTGAAAGGTAAACCAAGTAAACACGCATTACTAAGTAACAAGCTAATAGTTCCCAATGTTAACAAAAAAAGATCAAAGCTTTTCCATGACCACATATAAACTCAAGCTACAAATCCTCACATACAAAATTAAAGCAATGAAAGGCATCATCATCCAATCAGAAGTTACCATTTCCCCATGTTAAAAGTCCCAACAACCTTACCTTACCAAAGAACCGTTATATTAAACCGAACCCAAAAATCCATAGATCGAAAAAAGAAGGGAAAAAAATACCTGAGGAGAAAAGAAGCCAGGAGAGTTAAGAAAACCAGAAGGGCTCAACCCAGGAGGGACAGTAAACAATGGAGAGCGAGCCACCACCAAATTCATAGGCCTACTTTGCTTAAAACCCAGATTGCTATTACTATTAATACTATTCATACCATCTTCCTTTGAAGAAGAAAACGTAGCATTAGTAGCATTAGTAGTAGTATTAGTAGTAGTAATATTGTTGGGCGTTGAATTGTCAGTGAAAAAAGCAGGCCTCGCAATTGGAGAAGCCATAGCACCAGCAAGAAGTTGAGAGAAAGAACGATAATCTGATTCGGGGTAGGGGGTGTCAGCGAAGAAACTGGAGACTAGAGTCATAGGACCAGGACTTAGGCCACCTGTGAAAAGGGTCTCCATGGATGGTCTTGGCGGAAGAGTTATTGTAGGCTTTGCTGGTGCTGTTGTTGTGGGGTTTTCTTGTTTCTCTGCCATTTTTCTTCTTATTTCTTTTTAGGGTGAGGAGAAGTGAAAGAGAGCTAATTGTTTTCTTATGATTTCTGTTTATCTTTTTGTTGTTCTAACCTGAAAACTCTGGACTCCTCAAATCTTTTCTTTCAAGTCTCTCTCTCTCTCTCTCTCTCAGTCTGTCTGTATCCACCAGAAGACGAACAAATCCATCTGGCTTTCCAAGGATTTCGTGCTATCTTGAAATTCATGGAAAGTCCACGGACCCCAAATCAAACCACCATTCTTTTTTTATTTCTTCTTTTCTGATGTAATAATTTCTTTTTTCTACTTTGTGGGTAAATTTCCGTTCCCAAGTATTATTACATTATCAATATTGTCAGTCCTCAAACAAATATTTTTTTCTCCCAAATGAAATAATCACAAAATGTTAATGAAATTGTTTAATATTTTTCAAAGTAAACTTCTTTATTTCATAAATCTTCACTTTAGAGTATAGATGGAAAATATTACCAAACATGAATGGAAGGACTCAATTAAATAATGTCTTCAATTAAATTTTGAGAAAGTTTTTTATTTTGAGACCTAATTGAAAATTTATGGACAGTTGAGGACGGGTTTGAGGTTTTACCAACTTTTTTCACTTCGTTCATGGTTACAAAAGGAAAAAGAAAATTTTATTTGTCGTAAAAAGTAAAAAAAAAAAAAAAAAGGGAACCATTTGGTTTGGCATTGTTTGAATGTTGCGTCTCCATTTTTTTTTTTTTAGCCAATTTTAAGTTAATGAAAATAATTGAGGTATGATTATCAAAAATAAAAGATCTAAAATGAACATAAAAAAATCAAAATCAAATTAATAAATCAAATAGTATTTATATTCTCGTATTATATTTAAAGAATTAATAAAAAATCAAAATGAAATTTAACTTTTTTTTTAATATCTAATTTTTAATATAAATAAAAATAATTATTAAAAAATAATATACTAGTAAAAATAATAAAAATAATTGTGTTAGTGACGATGGTGGAGTATGAAGAGGATGAAAAAGAAGCGATAATAATTATAGTAATAACAATAATATACTTTTTAAAAAATGATATTATTATTATAGGAGGTGTTAATAGAAGAAAAATGATAATAGTTGTGGATCTTGTAAAAGGTAGCATTGGAAAAAAAAAAAAAGTGGTAGTGATGATAATAACGAAGACAATGATAGTGAAAAAAAAGTGATAATAGAATAATAATAATAACATTTTATTATTAATATCAATAGTAATAGTGATGGTGATGGTTGATATACAATAAATAAAAACAATATATTATTATTTTGAAGAAAAAATTTATTTTTATTCTCATATTTCACATGACAATAAAATTAAGTGTAATTTTTATTTATATTCTCACTTTTCATTAACATTTATATTTTATTTCTTTTAAATTTTTTATTGAGTTTTTCAACTTATTTGTATTGTGGGAAATTAATCGATAATCTTAAAAAAACTACTCCTTTAAAAATTGAAGCTTATACAATTTTCTAGGTTGAGGTTCTATCCCGTGTACTCGTAATTCTTTTTAATATAATTCGAAACTGTCAAATAAACTATCATAATAATGTATTTATTTACATGCATGCATTCAATTAATGGATATATTGATTTTTCATAAATAAATTTTCTCCTTCCAAAAATACCATTTCTACATAATTCTATCAATCAGTCAGTAGTTTGCTGGGAGATACGAATAGATTTTTGTGATTTATGTATTCAATAACTACAAAACTACCATTTCTACATAATTCTATTCAAACTAAAAGGTATTATTAGAATGTGATAGTTATTCTAGGTAATTTCAAAATAATAATAATAATGTTGTCATATTTTCATTTTTCTGCCATAAATCTCAAGCTTGCATTTAAGATCTTCTTGCATATGTTTTTTCCCCTCTCTGTGTTGTCTTAATTCAGAAAAAGGTTTTGTGCTTTTTTTTTTTTTTTTTTTTGTCATATATTTGTGCAAGAGATGGCAAGTAATTAACTAATTAGTTGTTTTAAGCTTAAAAGCAAAAACGTGGTGCTCTTGATTTGAATTTGGTAAGAGTTGTGAATTAAATTGGAGTAAAAAAAGAACAAAAAGGCCGTAATTATTGACAAAGGAGAAAAAGCAAATCATAATTAGATTTGACAATAGATTGCATATTTACGATTCCAAACCAAAAATAAAGGGAAAATTATACACATTTATCATCCATCTTTCACTTGATTCTTAATTGGATCTCCAAGCAATAATTGAGTTGTGAATTAGATTTTTTTACTTGGAAACCATATAAAACAACAACCTATTTACCTTGAAAAGATTTTTTCATAAAATTTAATAGTAGGTTAATCGAGCAATGTTCGATGGATAAAGGATCTAGCTGGAAATTATTTTTGTTTCATAACCTAGTTGAGAATCGAGTCGTAATTGGAAGACAAATATGTGATTTTCCCAAAACTAAAATAAAACCCTTTCATGTTTGATTTACTCCATTGCATCCTTTAGATTCAAGAATGTGGTGTTACATTCATAGGGTTATCTATGCTGCAATCGATCATCTCTCTCTCTCTCTGGTTTTTCATAATTACTTGAAATTTATTAAATTAGAATAAGATATCTTTATTAAGTTGACAAAAAATTAGATACAAATTCTTCATTTATTTTCCTGGTCTCCCAAAACAAAATGACAGGAGATTAATATTTGGTAACACTAGGGAACATTGGGCATTCATTGTCCAGATCCATAAAATAATGGTTGGGTAGAAGTGTGTGTGCAAAATTCCCACCAAACTTTGCTTAAAAAACGAACCAAATTATCGAAACCATAAAGAGGCCGAAAAGGGAGCTCTCCTCTTTCAAATTGACTTGTTGCTCTGCACGACGACCGGCATTTACCATTTTTGTACGCTTCGTTGCTTGAAAAGGTTGGTGCCCTAATCTCTAATCACTCGCTGCCACAAGTCAGCAAGTGGCATTTTTGCCTCCTCCATTGACAACGAGCCTCTTGGTTTGACCTTTTTGGTTTTTCTAGTATTTATTTATAATATGTTAATAGAAAGAAAAACCATTAGATATGATTATGAACGTGACCAGAACCACAAAATCCAGATAATGTCAGGTTGTAACTTGTAACAATTTATTTGTATCCATATATTTAATACTACCCCAAATTAAAGGAGAAAGAGTTAAAAGTTTGAGTCACATGCTTCCTACCATTAAATCTTTAACAAAAAATATGTACAGAGATCAAAAGGTTATTTGCAAGTCTTCAATGAAAATGAAAATGAAAGTTACTTGCGATAACATAAAAGGATTTTTTTTTATTTTTTTATTTGATGACAATCAGTATTTTTGAATCTCTTTAAAACAAAATAAAAACAAAAAAAAAGTATATTAAATGAAAAGGTGGTAACATAATTGCTAACAACATTGACAGGAAACATTAGATGGAAATAGGCATCAAGTTGGAAATTCTTGGCTGGAAGATGGATGGGGTCTAGATTTTTGTGTCTCAGATTTTCAATTTCTTAACATACGTGGATAGGTTTGGACAACATAACATGAAACTAAGAAGACAGTGACAGTGTGTCGATGAAGGGACCCCCTCGAGAAAAAGACGAGCACCATGGATTGGTGCATTTATTATCAGCCTTCGGAGCAAGGGACTTGTCCACTTTGATTGGGTCCAATGAATTTATAATGCACTCAAGTTGGCTGGAGAAAATTGGGAAAGCGTTTTGATTTTCGGCTTTTAGTTTTCATAACAGATAGATTGCATTGAATCGTATCTAAATTTCAATCGCGGTGCTGCGATAGGTAATTATATAAGTTTTTTAATCTTTATAAAGATCATAAGAAATTATTATTTTTGTAATATATATATATATATATATATTTTTTTTGTAACAATTTTTTGCCACAGGCCAAAATTCAAACCTCAACCATACCAACTTCTTTAAAGGCATTTAACAACCTTCACTAAAAATCGAGGATTATTATTACAACTAAACAAAAATATAATGTACTTTTTAAATCTTGATCTCATGATATAATAGTTAATGTTGAACTACCACTAAGCGATGTGATATAACAGTAAATTAAAATTAAATTTTAATTTCTATAATCCACAAATAAATAGTTATAATTATTTTTTAATGGTATTAATTTTTGGTTGATTTAACTTATGAGATAGTTCAATAATTAAACATGTTCTGATGCTAGTTTAATTTAAAAATGATGAATTTAATTTTTATTGATACAAAAACTGATTCAAATACAATCCACTACTTATAAATATTTAAAATAATAATAAAAATAATAATTTCGAACTAAAAGAATGTAGATCAAGATTGTGTACATTATTTATGGTATGCGGATCAAGATTGTGTATAAGCCATTGAAAAAAGATAGTATTAAGTAATTGCAAGTTGCAATTTAAAGGGCCAATCAGAATTACTTATGAGGTACCATTATTATTGTTATTTTTTTTATGTGATACTATAACATTATTAAAATGTAATATTAAGTGCTGTTTTACCTTGAAAAAACAATTATTGTGCCAAAGGAAACAAAATCTTGAAAATATTCACTTCTTACATAAATTTGAAAACAGCATTACAAGGTAAAATGAGGATGGGATGATAACTTGGACAGAGTCTTGCTTCTTCTTTTTTTCTTTAAAAGGAAAATTGAAGGCTAAAAGCCTTGAAAAATCAAATTAGAACAGCATAATAATTCAACAATTTGCACACATAATGGCAAAGCACACAGATATTTATTAATGAAATGCAAGTTGCAGCAGCATATGGTATGGGTTAGGGTTAGGGTTAGGGTTAGGGATGTGGTAGTTGTTGAGGCACATCTGGGTCGCTGTTTATAACAGCAGCAAGGAAACGTGATTCCAAGTTTCCAATCTTCAGTCTGTGGTGGAGCATCGTTAACAGGTGGTGACCACAAGCAAAGCCAAGTTGATAATTTAATATCTAAAGTTGTAT